GAGAGCGAAAAAAATCCAAAAAAAATTGAAAAAATCGAATAAATTTTTAAATTTTTTTAAAAAAATACCAAATTGGGGTGGATTCTTTTTTTAAAAAATACCAAATTTTTTTTATATTTTGTTGCATAATCTTTTTTTTTTTTGCCCTTGCCCTAGCCTTTTGGGGTGGAGCCAAAAAATGCAAGGCTGCCACTATTCACATGAATAGTGTCAGCCCTTGCCTTCCCTTAGCCTTTTGGGGTGGACATGCTCTAAGGCCATTGGTCTACCTCAGTGAAAGGGCCTTGACATTCCAGACCAATGGGCTTAGTTTTGAGTTTGCATGACATTTCGACAATGTGTGTGAGAAAACCACCTCCTCAATATCGCTTATGTATAAATATATATATATATATAATTTATCAAGAACACAAAAAATAACCCACGTGCCAAATTACAAATCAGAATAAAACCTTTTTTATTTTTACAAATATGAAAAATCCCATCCAAGATACACTTGGAAATCGGCTCAGTTTAAGGTGAGTGATTGGTGTTTGTAATTTGCAAGTCTTGCTTCTATGCCTGGATTTCTAGACCCATATTTGTTGACTATAAAAATTTGCTTTCTTGTATTTGAAACTTGGAGGTGTGCTCATATATCCACAAAGATCCATGCACACTGATATCTTGGTTATCTTGTGTTTAATTAATGACATGTGACTCATTTCATAGAGACACACACACCGCTAAAATTATAAAATTTTCCATATTGCAATTTTACCCTGAGATTTCTTATGTTGGACCATATCAAAATTCCAGTTAGTTTTGTCTCTTAATTAAAGACCTCTGCTAACATGGTTGTTCTATGCTATTTCTAATTGAGATTCTCCTTCCACAGCTTTTGCTTTATCCAAATCTTCATGGCCTGCTAGAGATTGGCACAACATATTTGAAGAAATCTAAGATTTGATGTCTTGCTTTTTCATACTTTTTCACTGCACATTTGACATGAATAAAATTTCACCATTAATCATACCATATTTGTGAAACTTCGTGTATTTGCACGCCTATTGTAACATGATAGTTAACAACAATGAGAAGACTCTGATTTATATCATTTTACGAAAGTGTAAAGATGGATAGCATGAATATCTTTGCGAGAGAATGAATATTATTTAACTCCCCCTATTCATCTTTTTTTTATGTCCATATCCATGAATAATGTAAATTTACATGAGACATTGGGAGAAACTAACAATTTCAGGTCAGTTTTCTTTATTCTATTCTTTTTAATTTGAGATAATTATTCAATATCTTACATTAACTTAAACTATAACTTGGGGTTCGACCACAAACCTGGGTTGTGTTTGAAATTTACGGTAACCTAATTAATTAAAACTTGTTTTTGGGTTAGATAATTAATTAACACTTTAATGTCAGGTTAATGGCACAATATCTTTGTCAAAACATGAAAAAGAGGATACCCTCACCCTTGTGTCATTCGTCAAGTCAACTGTGGTGACGCATAACTCAATGAAATTTTCACCAAAAATTGCAAACTCAGACCTAATACAGGGTTTAAAAAAAGTGAAAATGGGACTTGGTGTTAAAAAACTAAGTCGGAAATTTCAGCGACATTTTTGTTGATTCGGTTCGGGATTTTGAGTTCGGGTCCTCGTTGAGTTAGAAGAGGAAGAATGAAGGTGATTCCTATAAAAATAAAAATAAATACTGCATTTAATGAAAAAAAAAAAACGGAATTTCTATAAATTGTAAACTTTGGGAAACACAGTGACCAATTTGGCTAAATTTGTTTCTCAGTGACCAAATTGAATTTTCATGTAAAACCCAGTGACCAAAAAAGTATTTAACCCTTGAATAAAATGCCTCATTTTTTTATTTCTACCCACGACCTCCAAAATCAATGGACCGGCCCTGGACAATAGCAAATTTTGCCACCATCTTCAACTCAAGAATATTGGTCGTCCACAATACTTGTTTAGCCTTCAGATTTCGGGTTGAGTGGTTGTTGTTCAGTGACCCTTTAATGAAGTGAAAACTCAAAACTTAACAAGTTTGATGATATATAAGCAAGGTCTAAAATATCAAGGGTTTCGGAAATATCGATAATATCACTTTATTTCATTTCCCATATTTGATTTGTGTATGAATGTAAAACAAAGTTTGTTTAATTTTTTAATTATACCCATATTAGTCTATTAGATATATATAAAAATGCATTTAATGCTCTATTGTAATTCTACATTATTAATGGGGGGGAAAAGGGTCATTAAAATGGTGCATTCGTTTCACATGTGAAGGGAAAATAAAACCCAAGGGGGCGGAGGGTTTCATTTTCTCCTTATTTTCCCATGTGTCAGGCAACCATTTCTCATGCTTGAATTTGCCATTTCCCATGAACTAAATGCCCCTTTTATACATTGCATGGTAAAATACATGAGTAATTTAGTACCACAATATTTGCAAATTGTGCCATATTTGTTTCCATCTAGTGGGTCTCCATGTTCCCAAGTACGATCTATTGCCTCCATTAGACATCTTAAATATTCCTATATTCATTTGTCATGGAAATCAAGTACAATTATTTTTTATTTTTTTTTTTTGCCAAATGATGGGAAATTTTCATTAAATAGGAATAGAAAGGTTTATAATGCCAAAAAAAATAGTTGTGACAATTATCCAAGGGAACCTACATAAAGTTATCCTAAGGAATATGGATTGGATAAGTCACTAAATCTAAGATATGTTGAAGGAAGAAATGAAGGTAGAGGTGAATGACTTTCCATTTTAGGAGGATTAGGAGGGATTATTTATAAGGTGTTGCTATCCTACAATTTTGTGGGGATTAGATGGGATAAGTTTTCTTCATGAGTAATCCATCTTCTACCTTCAACTTGGTAAAAAAAAAAAAATTCATTCTTCCTTAAACATGCTTTAAATGTATGGAGTATCCAATTCAATCCAATACTAGCCACCAAACAAGCCCTATGTTTAGTACTCAACATTAAAAATATGAGAAATAAAGTTAAAGAGAAAAATAGAATAAATAATCATTTAGGTTTTTTTTTAATTTATGACTATGAGTATTGTAAAATTATACCTAAAAAAAAGCTTTTCAGTCGTTTTTTGTTGTTGGAAATTGCAGTGTAATTTAACATGCTCGTAAAATTCAGATGATACAATTATGGCAATTAGGAGTGCCTTAGCCTTTGTCGTGGCCTTATCAATCATAGTTCAATCTTCAATATAGGGTCATGAGCATATGACAATCTTGGATCTACATTGAAATGATGTAAAGCATGAAATGCTTTGTATTTTATTACTTCCTTTCTCATCACATCCTTACCTTTCCTTTATCCTTTTTCTCATACTTCTCTCCGTGATTCCCTTTTGAGCTTAAAGTGATCACTTTAATCCTAGGTTCTGCTTCGAAACGTATATATCCTCTTTTATCTTTTGACACATTATTTTTTATGATAAAAAGGAGGGATCATCACTTTGATTTGATACTTTCTCCGGCCTGCCTGTGCAACTGTAACAATAATTCAGCCATAAGAAAAGTCTTACTACCGATGCTCAAGTCAAGGCAAAACCTCAGGATCCCTGAAAATATAACCAGATACTTTTTTTTTTGCCAAAGTTAAAGAAGGTGACAGGCCAATGGGGGTTTGCCTTAGTGATGAAGGCAATGGGATCGAAACTTGTTAGTGGGCCATCTGTATTTTCCCACCCTATTCCACCCCCTACCTCCTTATTTACTCCAAATAAAAAATTAAAAAATAAAAAAGGGGGGGAGGTGGCCGGCGGGGGCGAAAATATAATACTAGCCTACGGACATGTCGGTATGCGTGTGTCAATAATTTTTAAATTTATAAAGAATTTTGTCGGACATGGACTCTTATTCATTTTTCAAAATTATGTGTATTTTTAATATAGAGTGAAGTGTTGTTTTACTCCCCGAACTGTGATCCTAACTAATCAAATATATCCCCGGAACTAAAAAGTTAGTCAATTTAATATTTAAATTAATTAAAATATTACGAAATTTAATCTAATTTTTAGTTAGTAATAAGGATAAATTTGTAATTTTGAGTAAAATAATAGTAAAATACATAAAAGAAAAAGAAAAGAAAATAAAGCCAAAAAAATAAATAAAATAACATTATTTATAATTGTAAAAAATAAAAAGTATATTGGTCTGGTATAGCTTCTCGTAATTCTCTGGTGGACACTCCCCGTAATAAGGACAAAATTGGTTTAAAAAACTGAGTGGATAAATAAATTATATTGACATCCAGGTGTGCAGAAATGACAGACTTTCAAGCAATGCTCAAAGTGTGTCCAACTCCCATTAGTATTTCTTGTCACTGTGGAGGAGTCGTTTATAACATTGATATAGACTCCAATGTACTTTCTTAATGTAATACACCTGGTGCTTTACATGTTTTTACTAAAGCTCATTGTGTAAATATCAACCAAACTGGAAAAGAGGTTAATTATAACCTCCCAATTAATAATCTATACAAAATTGGTAATGTGTTATTTAGTTCCTTCCCCTCCCCCTGATCGCTGTATCTACACACAAAAAAATTGTTTTATTTCGTACCTAGTTACTTTTAGCACGTGGAATAGAAAAATTCTAGTGCAATTACCTTTTTTCTCTAGCTAAGAATCCATTGGTGTAATAGTTTGGAGCAAAGCTCTTCCAAAAATGACCTTAGGTTCGAGTCATAACATCGATGTGTGTGTGAGTTTAGTAAAGCATTAGAAAAGTAGTTTGTCCTTGTGTCACCCGGTAAGATTTACTTGAAGCACTAGAAAAGTAGTTTGTCCAAGCAGACAAAGCAATTGTTTAGTGAGCAATCACGTTTGTTATCATTACTTTTTTCACTTGTGATGTTTTCTTTATCTTTCTTCATCACTTGATTCAGTTTCTTCACTGGTAAGTAACTTTTTGGTGCTTCCAGTTATAAATATTTAATTTGTATTTTCTATTTTTTGGTCTGGAATTGATTTGGTGAAAGCTCCAGTTGAGAAAAGAATAGTTAAAAAGCTGAATATTATAGTTCATTCTGGTATTTGAGCTTGTTTTACTAAGCATCTACAAAAGTAGTTTGTCCAAGCATACAAGCAAAGGAATTGTTTAGTAAGCAATCATGTTTGTCATCATCACTTTCACTTGCGATGTTTCTTTATCTTTCTTCATCACCTAATTCAGCTTCTTCACTGGTAAGTAAGTAACTTCTTGGTGTTTCCAGTTTTAAATATTTAATTTGTATATTTTTTTAATGCAATTGGTTTGGTGAAGGGGCGGAGCTAGGATTGTATGTGTGGGGGCCGAACCATAACACAAGTTTTAAAAAGAAAATTTTAATAAAGAATAGACTATAAACAAAGGCATTGATTTTGAGTATTGAAGGATTAATCGGCTAATATGGCTTCACTTTCTTCTTCTTTTTTTGTTATATTAATTGTGGGACTACAAACATGTAATATATAATTGTGAATGAAATTATCATGAAGTGATTATAAGGGTTGCATTCAATCATTGCATTGGGCCACTACAATGGTTTTTTTTTAGGGACACTACAATGGTTATACGGTGGTCTGTTATTCTTCAAAATATGAGCTGCAGCTATATTATATAGTGTATGGGAAAAATTGGGGGGGGGGGGGGTTGGGGGGCGGGGCCATGGCAGGCCCTAAGGTGAATTTTATAATTCATTTTGGTCTTTCAGCTTGTTCTCTCTCTCTCCCCATATGGTCTTTTCACTTTGTTTGGTCGGAGGGAAAATGGAAGAATGGGTAACAGTATTTACTTCTGCTTGACTTAATTATGTCCTTGTAGAAATGAACGAAATTGGAAGAACAAAAATAACTAGAGTTAGGTACTGTGTTTTTTTTGAATGACTTAGATACTGCTTTCTCTTTTGTTTCTTCCATTTTTGTTGAGACCTAAGCGGGTCCGTTTATAATTTGTTCCACACTTCCAAGAAATTTAGTTGATTCTACAATATTAGAATTATTGGGACTTTTTTTTATATATTTATAAATATCATGGTTTACGATTCTCACTGGGTATGCTTCTGAATTTTTTTATTTTTGTCTTTCTGAAATTTTGCAGTTCGACAAGTCTGCATAGTAAATTGGTATTTGTTGGGGCCTAAGTGATAACTTTCTGGGGATTATACATTGTTAGTGGGTATTCTGTACAATGTCTTGCTGGTAATGTTCTTTCTATATGTGAAAGAATCTAAGAAGCTGTGGAAAGTTTATAAATCATGAGTAACGGTGTTCAATCATGCAGTGGAGGGTTGCAGCTTAGCAATGATGTGAAGGAGAATGATAATGGGGATGTTGACCTTGTTGAGGATTTTGATTCTTATTGGCAAGATATCAATTACCTGTTGACCGTGTCGAGGGTGGTAAGTGACAATGTCATCAAGGGTATGGTACAAGAGGCAGCAGAGAAAATTGCTGATAAAGAACTAGAGGTGAAAAAATTGAAAGAAATGTTACATGTTTACCATGTGGGTGTTGAAAATGAATTCTTGGAGTCTTTAGCAATGCGCCAGGAGTCAAACAGACTTGTTAAACAAGGTACCAAAGACAAGATACATCCTAGCTCTCTTGAAGCTATTTTAGAGCATGATAGAGTAGAACAATCTTTGAGCAGCTTAAGAGGAGCAACTAAAGAGCAGTTTAAGAAGCTCGAGGCAGAAATTGATAGCATAAGAGGCGGCTCAGTTAAGATAATTTCTGAGTGGTTGGGTTTGAGAGACATACTGCAAGATAAAGTTTCTGACAGATGGATTGGTGTAGATAGGACGCTTAATTGTCTAAAGAGTGCAATAGAAAGTGGCTTTCAACAGGTGGAACAAATGGTTCGCTTGTCAAAGGCTGATGTACGTGAGTGGCAACAGGAACAGGAGTTTAAAGCAGAAATTGAAGCATTTGTGATGAGCAATTGCATTTGGAGATTCGAAGAAAAAATTTGGGACCGGTTTTATAGTGATAAAAATGTGAATGGGCATGGAAGGATGAAAGAGAGGATATCAGGTTTACGTCAGGAATTGGACGCCGTTTCTAAATCAGAATCTGTTTCTGACTTTGGGCAGCTATCTTCTCATGGATCCTTGGAAGGTGATGAAGAAAGTAATAATTTTAAGAAGGGAGACCATCCCCACCGGAAGGTTTTGAACGATCTTAAATCATCATCTCCATCTCCAGCAACATCATCACCAACATCACCATCATCACCATCATCATCATCATCACCATCATCATCATCATCATCTAGTTGGGAAGAAAATGGCACGCATGATAAGTCAGAAATAAATATTTCAGGAGATGAGTTGATAAATTATTATAATACTGAGATGACTGAGTTGAAGAGAAATCATGAGTCTAAAGTGCAAGATATGACTGAACAACTGTTCAGTCTCAAGAGGGAATTGTTGAAAGAACGGGGATGTTCTTTGCCATCAAAGAAGAAAAAGGAGTTTGACATGCTGAGGAGGAGAATATCTGAGGTTATTTCTAAATTGGATGACATTCTTGTCGAAAATGAGCAAAAAGCTACATTTGGCATCGATGAAGAAAGTCTTAGCAGTTTGAAAGACAGACTGGAGTCACTCCACCCCCAGCTCAGAGATTTGCTCACAGATAAGAAGATGGAAATTAAGTGCCTTTCACTACAAGTTTCTGAAGCTGCAGAGAAAATGTCAGAGCACAATGGTGAATCTTCTAGCCACTGTGAAATTGAACATTTGAATATGGAGTCCTTCATCATGCAAGAATTAGATGTAGTTATATTCAGAGAAGCCTTGAAGGATGCTGAGCAGAAACTCAATAACCTGAACATGATATACACCAAAGAAAAAGGACTTCGGGTTTCGCTTGAGATGGAAAATCTAGAAAAAGGAAAACAACTAGAAGTTGAGGTTGCAAACAGAGAAAAGTTGAACCAACAAATACTCTTTCTGGTAAAAGTAAAGGAGCGATTGGAACAAGATGCAGTAGCTGCCTCGGAAAAGGAAAAGGAGCGATATGAATTAGCTGCTCAAGAGCTTGAAAATTTAAGGAGTGAATCAAATGCTGCACATTGTAATTTGGTTGAAAGACATAAGGCAGATATTTGCAAGTTACATCAGATGCTTCTTGATGTCAACCAAGAGAAGCAGAGTGCTGTGTCTTTGTTTGAAGCAAAAGAAAGGGAGTTCAAGCAGCAATTGAAATCAATAGCTGTCTATAGCTGTGGATTATTCAGAGCGATTACTGATTTTGAATGTAGAGTAACACAAGATATTTCAGGAAAATCTTCAAGGTACTTGCTCAGTTATTGTTACCTATAAGTGCTTTACCTGTAAATGCCTTTCGTGCTCTAATTCTGTGCTTTACCTTTAAATGCCTTGTGTAATTCTGTGATTTTGTTTCCAGGTTGAAGAGTTTGAGTTCTCAATCGCATTCACTTAAACAAAAAGCTAATGTACTTGTACAAAGAAAGTTTCTATACAAGCAGGGATTTGAAAGGAAATGTTCTGAACTTGAAAAAGCTGAAGCCGAGGTATGTAAATCAGATAGGTATTATACCTTCAAAGTTTTTATTCCCCAAGTCATAAGAACATACTATGTAAGTTTTTAACAGATACTGTAATAAGCGTGTAATTTTGTAGTATATTTAATGGATCATTTCTCACTGGATTTCAGGTTGATCTTTTGGGAGAGGAGGTGGACACTCTATCGAGCCTTGTTGAAAAAATATACATGGTCCTTGATCATTATTCACCAATATTGCAACATTATGCTGGAGTAAGATGTTTTCTTCTTTTGATTGGTGATTTATCAAGCTATCTCTACCTTACTTTTATATTTTCGGAGTACTGTTTGCAAGGATGAAAGTATTGATTCGGTGGAAATATCGGTTGTTCGTATTTTAGAAAATCTGTGAAAACATAAAGTAAAATTTTACGGAAACAATGAAAATTTACTTGGAACATGGAAAATGTGGGGAAAAAAAGCTTTTCAAAATGGGATATAGGTAGGATATGTTGGGATTCGTTACTAGTTTATTTGTGGATTTAGTACAAAGTTATATATTTTTGGGATTTAGTTGGAAGGCATTCTTATTTATTAATAGGCACTTGGTTCGCACTATTGTGCGGGAACACACAAAACTTTGTTATCAATGGACTATGCGAAAAAACAAACCACACCAACAATGAAGGGAATTGAGCGAGCACACACACACAAAAGTAAACAAACCAACCAAGAACACAAGAAATTTATAGATGTTCAGTAATGTGCCTACGTCCTCTCCAATGATCCTCTTGAGAAATTTCACTAGAAAAATAAGAACAACTTTGGTTTACAAGAAAACCCTACTAGCTCTCTATTCTCTCAAACCCTAGCTCTCTATTTATCTCTCACCCTTTTGCCTCAAACCCAATTTGATGCCCATTTGTTTTCTAGATTATTCCTCTGTTTTAGATGCACCCCCTTGATGCGCTATTATGATGTGGACTGGCGGAACCGCTGTGTGGACTGCCATGGGCTATAGCCCAGGGAAGGTTTTGGGAGAAAAAAATATTACACCTATATAGTCTAGTATCTTAACCTAAAAATAAATTAAAAATATATACAATTTCATATCTTACTGATACCAATAGGCATAGTCAGAGGTCTTCCACATTTGTATTTAGTGTCAAAAATTGTCCCAACATCAATTTTAATCTTTTTTCAATAATTTATCTCCAAAAGAGAAACATTTTTCACCCTTTTGTGAATAATATGGCTCTAATTCGATTTTTTCTTGTGTTTACAACTAGCATGGTTTATAAGATTTAATGTACACTTTTATTTATAGAAAAAACTATAGAACCTATAAGTACCAAAAAAAAAAATCATTAGATTTTAAGCTAATAACTTTAGCTAACCCACCCGTTGAAAAATTCCTGGTTCCCCCTTGATGCATACCTTTAATTTAGTCCCAAAAGTCTTATTTATAGCTTATAGCTTACAAGTCTACTTAAGAATAGGAAACGTAAACCGTATTAGATTAGGCTAGAAATCCCACACAAAAAAAGGTTGGAACACGTCAACGACGTCCAAAACAAGTCAGGACATACAACCTATGGTAAGCCAAAAACACAACACGCACAACCTAGTGTCATGAATGCTTGATGTACAGACAAAATCATCCATGTATTGATTCAACTTTTCCTTGTGCTTCGCAGATAGCTGAGATCTTGAAGCTCATGAGAGGAAAATTACGTGGAGAAACTAAAGCAGTTTGATCTACCTTTTGACTCGATAAGGTTTCAATTGTAAGGGTTTCGCTTCATGCCGCATAACTACTATTACTATATATTAATTTTATATTGTTTTTTAATATGTTTTGATGGTAGATTGGCTAATCCTCGAGGTGACAAGAATCGAATGCAGGGTAACCAAGGTTAAAGAATGATGCTTCATTTACAGTTGTGCTGTGTTTAGTTTTCATTTTGTTGTATGTGAATAAATTTATAGTTGTAATAAGAACTGAGGGAGCCATTTAAGTAATATGTTGAATTTTAATTTATTATGTAAATATGTAGTGTAATATTTGATTCAGAAGCGTTGAGTTTTTATTGATATTGTCGCTTGGGATAGTGGTGTATTTTTGTAGATTTCTAGCTTTGCTGGATTGTATTTGAGTTGTAATATAAGTATGTTATTTTTGTTGAGAATTTGGGGCGTGACAATTTGGTTGTGGGTTATTTGATAATCTCAAAGGGGGTGGCAGTTATTGAGCTTTGGGAAAGGGTGAGGTTCTTGTCTTCTGTTTGGGCTTTAGTTTCATGTGTGACTTCAGGGATTTACCACTCTCTTCTATTTTATCCGATAACCTGGTTGTTGTGGTTCGGTTTCGGATTTTTCTTGTTTTTTAGTGGTCTTCTTGTCCACTCTCTTATAGTTCTTCTCTTTTCATCTTATTAAAATTTATTTCTTTAAAAAAATTCTTGATGGTCTCACACAATATCTTTTGTGTTAAAGCGGTATGTTAACAGAGTGGTTGTCAGGCAATCGATTACCTTCGTCAAAATGACCAAAGAATCCAAGAAAATGCTTGAAGGAGTTGAGTCTGGAGATATAACAATATTTACCCATTTTCATCCGCTAGTCAATAATGGCCTTGGGATTGTTGTGTTTGCGGCCGTGCCATGTTAGCAATGTCCCAATAAACTGACTTTAATTAAAGGGATTGTGATTTTGGGTGGGGAACTGGTCCAACATAGTTCTTTTCTATGCCTTAAATTGAGTAAGTGTTGTGTGGAAACAAATCAAAGACTTTGTTATCAATGGACTATACGATGTGTACACACACAAACCACAAGAAGAATAAATATACACACCGCAAGAGAGATAAAGCAAATCCACAATAATACAAAGATTTATATAAATTTTAATAGAAGAATAGGAACAACTTTGGTTTACAAAGAAAACTCATTTAGCTCTCTATTTCTCATACACCCTCGCTCAAACTCTCTCTCTCTCTCTCTCTCTCTGTGTGTGAATTAACCTAGCCTTTAAAGTCCTATTTATAGCTCATAGGACTTGGGTTGCAAGTTTACAAGGAATAGGAAACAAAAGCCTAACCAAATTAGACCAAACCCGAAAAGTCCCTTCAATGCCAGGGTTCGCACCAAAACTGGGTTCTGCCGCTCGAGCTGCAGCCGCCTACAGTGCCTTCCTCTACAGCTTTGCAAGCCAACATCAACAATCTCCAACTTGGTGAACCAAAACTCAACTTGTGAACAATTGTTGATCCCATAACCTTTCAAACCTCTTAGAAAGCATTCTAGCAAATCCCAAGAGCTCCACTATAGCAAGAAACCTCTTGCCTCAACGCACCTCAAGTGACGAGGTGTTTTACCCAAACTAAACTTGGATAACCCGGACCTCTTGTGCATAAAATAGATCCCCCAATGCCGAATTCCTTGTTCTTTGTATTAATGGACCCTTGAATTCAGGATATGCCTTGATACGCAAACCACATACTAACCCATGTTCTATAAATCTGCGCACATCCCCTAACATTGCTCTTGGATTCATAAACTAATTCCTTCATGGAATCTTTCCCTTTCATCAAAGGCCCCATCCAACTTTCCCACTTCTTACTCCCAAAAACAACCTAAAACGTAGTTGAATCTACCTTATCCTTCCATTCAAACCATTGGTGGGTGGGTTTAGGGGTGGAGGCCATGGACAGCAGGGGTTGGGGCGGCGAGGTAGGGGTTAGGTAGGAATGCTTGCTGAGAATTTTATTTTTTTATTTTTTAATATTATATTTCAAAGGTATTAGATACACATAATACTATAATAGGGTGCATCGGATTAAAAATATATTTTTTTACAAATATGAAAAATCACATCCAAGAAACTCTTGAAATCGGCTTAGTTTAAGCTGAGTATTTTTTGGTCGAAAGTTTAAGCTGAGTATGGTGTTTGTAATTTGCAAGTCTTGCTTCTATGCCTGGAGTTCTAGACCAATATTTGTTAACTATAAAAATTTGCTTTAATTCTTGTGTTTGAAACTTTGAGGTGTACTCATATATCCACAAGGATCCATGCATATTGATATCTTGGTTATCTAGAATAGTTTTGCACCCATTGTACCCGTAAGTAACTACAAACTTGTTGCAACTTATAACATGGTTGGGCCCTATGTAAGAAGAATAGTTTTGCATTGTCTTAGTAATATATTGACTTTGATCTTTTACGGGGCTTTGGGTTAGGGATGGACAACGGCAAGGGTGGAACCATGAATTTTTCAATGGGTGAGCTAGCTAAAGTTATTAGCTTAAAATTTAATGATTTTTTTTTTTTTTTTGTACTTACATTTTCTATAGTTTTTCTAGAAATAAAAGTATACATTAAATCATATAAATCATGCTAATTGTAAACACAAGAAGAAAAAAAAAGAAAAGAAATTAGAGCCATATTATTCACGAAATGGTGAATTTCATTTAGAAAAATGCTTCTCTTTTGAAGACAAATTAATATAAATTTTTTAAAATTGATGTTGGGACAAACTTTGACACCAAATACAAACGTGGAAGACCTCTGACTATGCCTATTGATATTGAAATTGTATATATATTAGTTAAAATATTAGGCTATATGTATATTTAATTTGTTTTTTTTCCCAAACCTTCCCTGGGCTACAGCCAAGGGCAGCCCTTGCCTTGGTTCCGCCCATGGACAACGGGTACCCCGAGTACGAACTGCCATCGTCATCACTACTATTTAATGGGTACTCATTGTCCATCCCTACCTTAAGTATGCAATTGACGGTAGTCATATTTTACTGATGTAATTGTGATTCATATCCTAGCTCGTGCAACTATTGAACAACATTTATGAATACATGGAAGATCCAAAATTTAATGGCATGTGACTCATTCATAGAGGCACGGCAGAACGCTAAAATTATAAAATTCCATATTGCATTTTTACTCTAAGATTCTTATTAATATTAATATTCCTGTTACTTTTGGTTCTTAATTAAAGTCCTCTGGTATCTTAACATGGCTGTTCTATGCTACTTCTAATCAATATTTTGAGATTCTCCTTCCACGGCTTTTGCTTTATCCAAATCTTCATGGCTTTTGCTCTAGCTTTTTCGTACTTTTCACTGCGCATTTGACATGAATAAAATTTCATCATTAATCATACCATATCTGTGACTTCTCACAATATGTGTATTTGCACACATATTGTAACATGACAGTTAACAACAATGAAGAGACTCTGAGTTATATCATTTTATGTTTTATGTTTTATGTTTTCTTGATAGCAAGAATATTTTTGTGAGAGAATGAATATTATTTAACTCCCATATTCTCTTTTTTTTTTAATGTTCATATCCATGAACAAAGTAAATTTACATGAGACATTGGGAGAAACTAACAATTTCAGGTAAGGTTTCTTTATTCTATTTCTTTTTAATTTGAGATAATTAATCGACATATTACATTAACTTCAATTATAACTTGGGTTGTGTTTGAAATTACAGTAACCTAATATTACATTCACTTTATTGTCAGGCTAATGGTGCATATATTGCTCTTTTATCCACCTGCAAAGCTTTTGAGAGAACGTATCAAACTCGCCCTAGACAATTCAGCTAGCATTCAGATTCCACCTAATGCTATTCTTAATTTTATAAATGCTATTAACACTACTAGAAAATCACCTACTAGCCACTGATATAGAGAGACAAATTCAAATAAGTGCCTTTAAATTTTTTTGTGGGTACTAATAATACCACCATGCGTATTAAAGTAATTAGGCATAGACATGAATGTCTAATACAATTTAAGTGAATTTTAGACTTTTACTTAATATTTAGACCTCTTTATCAGTCCTAAATGATGTTGAAAGAAGCTGTCAACCCACTCCCAATCGGCTCCACTTACAAATAACCCAATTCAGCTTGGCTTCCCTTGACTCGGAGCTTCTTCTGGCTTAAATTAGTTGCTGACTTTTAGGGAAGTCCCAAAGGGCTTTGATGACAGAAGTACTTGGCAACATAGGTCCAAAAATAAGGGCCATATTTTCCCGCTGGTTCCTATTACCTTGACTATGAAATTTGAAAGCGGGAGAATATTAACACACACATATTTTTGAAAAGCAGAGCAGCCTATAAAGTGGAATTATTCAACCATAAATGCATTGTATTCCAAATTAGGGTGCTTCTGCTTTCAAGAGATGCAATGGGCTTCCCAGCTTCCTCCCTCTATGGTGCTTTTTGTTCAGTTGAAATATTGGGCTGCTGTGTTCAGTTTTCATTCGAGGCAATTATATAACATTGAGGAATTAAATATGGTCAATATAATAATATGAAAATCAGCCCCCAAATCGTATGCAAACTGATATGTCATGATTAGTGCCTAATATAATAGACACCATTCCAAATATCATATCCCAAGCTTGAAGCCATTGCTTGTATCTTAAAAGGTATTTCTTTAATGGAAAATAGGGAAGGACCGACTCAATAAATGGTACCCAACCAAGGTGGTTGGTGTGAGTGGTTCGGCACTCTCATTCCTTAAGAGAGGTCAGGGGTTCGATCCCTGCTCTCGTACGGAGTCACCACTTTGGCCAATACTTTACCCCTTACGGGCCGACCCGGTGTGAGTGAGGATTAGTCTGGGTTGTGGTTAAGGCTTAAAGGTGTCACCCATAGTTGGGGCCCATCCAGGACCACCTCATGGTTTAGACCAAAATAAATAAATAAATAAATGGTACCCAAAAAACAATAGCAATCCCAAACTAGGATATACTTATTTAAAAATAGTGGCTGCATAGTCTCTATTGGTTAATTGAGACAATTTATTGTCTCAAAATTTAACTTAGGGGACAAATCTGGATCAGTACATAGTGTGTGTTTTTTTAGTAGTGTAATCACTTGAGCTATAAGTCTTTTGCAATAGATAATCGTGAATTGAATGAATAAAAAGTAACAATATTTATTCAACTCCATATTCTCTTATAAACTTTTTCAATTGTCTTGCAATCTCAGTTTACGTTTCATTTGAAGTATTTAATAGCCCAACTTAGTTTTCTTTGAGAATACTAATCATTGATCTTTGTCAGGAGGCCAACTCTTGCTGGCATGGCAATGATGCCTCTGTTTTTGCCCAATGGAAGGATCGAATATTTCATACAACAGCCTGCATTCCGCTACATTTTAGAAGTGGAAGTAGTGGTGATGATGGTGACAACTCGAGTGGTGAAAGGCGCATTGGTGAGACCAATCTTAACCGCAATCATTATAACCCGTATTAATTTGTGAGCTTTGACTCTCTAGCAAAGGGAAAGAAGAAGACAGTGCCCTGGATTGACAATCAATACTTTGGGTGTGTGAGGAATTGTTAGGACCAATTTTTGGTATATTGGCAATTTCTTGTTATAAAAACATAGAGTAGGTCTTTGAGTGTAACCTACAGTTTCAAGTGACGTTCTGCTATCCTGGATCAATGTGGCTCAGAGACAATGCCAAGGTATGTTTTGCATCCATATTTGCATATTTGCAAGATCATCAAAAGTGGCTGTCAGATGTACAGGACTGATATATGGTTTCAGTCTTACGTAATCCAGTGCCAGACATCAGTGAGTTTTTAATGATGGTTTTATAATCTTTAGTTTGATGTTTATTTAAGCAAAAGGGTTCTTTTGTCTTTACAGCTGGGTTTTTAATTAAGTGGCTTTATTTGTTTTAAAGAAATAATTTATTTGTTAAAAAGCCCTTTTTTGCTAAAAGCCTTTTTGGTCTCTGATCTAGTTTTTAAGCGTGTAATATAAGAAAGGAACTTAGACGTTTTGTTGGGTAGGCCTGCAACGTTGAAAAGCACAGAACGACAAAAATATTCTTGTAGAGAGTTTTTGAGAGTTCATATTGAAAACTCATGTGGCTGTTCCTTGTTAGCCTCCATGAGTGATTAAATCATCATCTTTTCATATATGTGTGAGTTCATGAGCATTATGCATGTTGGTGATCAGCAATCGTGCCTTGAGGTGTGAGCAGCCAAGACCAGAGTTGTGCCATCTCTTGTTGACGAAGGAAGACAAGATCGCTGATTGGGTTGAGTAGCAAAGGCGAGTAGGCAAGTCTGACTTGTGAGCGTTAGTTTTGTGAGTTGAGACTTGTAAGACCTTTTTGTATTCTTTCTCATAGTGATTTGTTCTCCGGCATAGTGCCCGCATTTGTTTTCCTCATTTTGAGGTTTTTTACTGCGTCAACATATTGTGTGTCCCTTTGTGCAATTGTTTGCGTTTTTATTTGAATTTATTCCGCTGCGTATTCTGGAGTTTTTGTTTACATGATTGTTGCAGTATTTCAATCATGCTGTGGTGTTTAAGTATTAAGAAACAGATCGGTTGGCCATTCTAGGGAATTTCAAGAATGTATAGGTTTATTAAACCCAAAACAAATGGAGCTTTTTTATGTCAAACAAAGAATTGTTTACCATAATTATAGAATGAATCGAATAATCTCATAGTTCTCATTACTCACAAAGACAGAAAGAGAGAGAAAAGGCGAGAGTGAGCGAGCTAGAGAGAGAGAGACGGCGAGAGCAAGTTAGGGAGAGAAAGAAGGTGAGAGCGAGCAAGCTAGAGAGAGAGAGAGAGAGAGAGAGAGAGAGAGAGAGAGGTTTGATTTCAAGGTTTTATCGTTTTACTGGAGCTATTTCAATTCGTGAGCATTAAATTTGAAGCTTTACTCGCCTTTTTTTTTTTAATAAATAGTATAGCCATGCGGTTATACTCTTTACATATATATATATACTGGATCCTCTTTTTTTTAATATATTTTTCCCCTATTTTCGTTTATAGATAAGAGTAGTTTAGAGCTATTACCAGTATAAAGAATTTAGCAATTTCACGTTTAATACTGTATTATACACATAGATACCTATATTTCAATAATATATTCGTGTTTTGTACATGTTTTAAAGACTCGGTAAAATTCACGTTTTTTAAAATGCAAACGTATACTACTCGTATTTTTTACAAAATTTTCAATAATACACACAAAATTAACGTATTATACACATAATTATCACATATTATTGAATATAAATAATATATATTAAATAAATCATATTAAAATATTTTATAGTGACCGAACTTTTAAGTTGTAATTTGCCAAATAAAACATGTACATATTTTATTGGTATCTATAAAGTATCAACTAATGCGGAGGGTCCTTTTTCGCAATTTTTTTATATTAAATAGTATAGCCGGCGGCTATACTCAGTTTTTAATTGTTTTAGAAAGAAATAATATAGCCGAACGGTTATACCCGTGTTTTCCAATTTTTTTTAAAAAAGGAATAGTATAGCCGCGCGGCTATACATGGTTGTTTCCAATTTTTTAAAAAGAAATAGTGTAGCCGCGCGGCTATACGTGGTTGTTTCCATTTTTTTTTTTTAAATAGTATAGCCGCCCGGCTATACGCGGTTGTTTTCATTTTTTTTCAAAGAAATAGTATAGCCGTTCGGCTATACGTGGATTTTTTTTTAAAAAAAATTTAAAGAAATGGCCTATACTCGGTTTTTCCTAATTTTTCAAAAAGAAATATTATAGCCGCTGCTGCGCTCGACTCTCTGCCACTTGTCGTTCTTGTCTTCCTTCTCTACGTTCTTCTCCCCGCTGATCTGACATTCATCTCTTCTTTCTTCAGCCCCGGGAGGTCTGCCTTGAACACGTGGGCTTCCGGGGTCTCCTCCCAGTCGATTCTGGTGTTCAGTAAAGCTGAATTTTGCTGTGGAAAGTGATGAGGAAGAAGGAACTGGGAAATCCTTGAAGGGGTCGAAAATGCTGCTTCGTCGAAAGCTTGGGGTGATCGACATTGTATTGTAAATTGATGAAAACTCTGGGATCTTGGGTTTGTTTGGATGATGAGAAAGTTTGAGTTTCCAATTCAAGTGTTACTGATCTAATTTCCCGCTTCGCTTCAACTTCAAAGGTTTGGATATTATATTACGGATTGCGTATTTATAAGAAGCCCAAGACGTTTTCAGTAAAGACTGGGCCTTCAAAATGGGTTTTGTGAATTTTTTTTTTTTTCGAACTTTCTAGGACTGTTGAGAAAGTGGGCCTCCGAAATATTATTCGCTCAAATGCACATTTTTTTTTATAAAAAAAAAAATTTCGACTCTATCAAATTTACAATAGTTAAATAAAATCTCATCATCAGTCGTCACACCATTTTTATGTGGAATTGCTCACATATGGTTAAAATAACAACAACGAAAAACTTTGGTTTTTATCATTTAAAGGAGAAGTGTGTGTGGATGAATTGCTCTATTATTTTTCGTTTTCTTAACAACTTGAATGTTTTTGTAAGAAAAATGTGTAATAACCTGAAAATTTCAATATTATATTATTATTTTGGTGACAAATAATATTATAGTGAAGAGTTATTGTGGGTATTTTATAAAGTATTTTTGGATTGAAAATATTGAATTTAAGTATTTTATCATTTAAATATTAATGGGACAATGTAATTTTATATGAGACATTGGAAGAAACTAACAATACCATCTACAATGACTTTTGTTTTAGTAAAGTTTGAGTCTGAATGAAATGGATCCTCAAATTCTTTAATTGATTTGGTTGGTTTTATGATCATATTTAGAAACATTATTTTGACATCTATATTGTTGCAATAAGATGGCAAATGTGCTAACTCATTATGAGTTACAAGAAGAGGGTCAAGTTTGGCTAAATGATTATTTTGATAGTGACCTTATCTTAATGAAATTCTTATATTTAGATAATAAATAAATGTTAAAAATACCATGAGAAAAACTTGTATCGTATGCATAATCAGAGGTGTTCAATTATAAAAATGTGTTGCCCGCGCAGGTTCGAATCCTGCCGACTACCTTTTTTATTTCTTTCTTTGGAAAATTATAAAATCAGAGGTGTTAAATTGTAACATGACACAAAGTTTAGATTCGATATATCAAATTAAAAACACACAATTCGTAATTTTACAAGAAACCGCTTATTTTATTAATATCAACATTCATCACACAAAATCATATTGAATTTGGTACTCGTATAATGTTCATTTCTCAATTAATTAACCAGAGATTTCAATGGCTTTGACATCGGCCTTTTTCACCTCTGCTTTGGAAACAGTGACGCTCAGAACCCCATTCTCCATTGCAGCCTTAATCTCGTCTACCTTCGCATTCTCCGGAAGCTGAAACCTCCTCAGGAACTTGCCGCTGCTGCGCTCCACCCTGTGCCACGTGTCGTTCTTGTCCTCCTTCTCCACATTCCTCTCTCCACTGAT